TCTCCCCGCTTCTTGCTTTCTCTCTCTCTCTGTCTCTGCCTCTCTCTGTCTCTCTCTCTCTCTTCCTCTCTCTTTTTTCCTGCCTCTCTCACTCACTGTCTCTCCCTTTTGCTCTCTCTCTGACTACCCCTCACGTCCCCACCACTTTTCTTTCTCCTGCAAGACAGAGATCTCTCTCTCATCCTCCCCTGATTAGCACATACCTTTGTTTGCTCTATACAGAATAACACGTGGTTCTGAGCGAATGTCCCCGCACCAATCAAATGCATAGTCAATGAGCAGTTATTATGATTGTTCCTTGTCCACTTTTCATTTGGCAGAGGGAGGTATTAAGATCTCATGGATGCTCATAACAAGGGGTGGCCATCTGAAGCACTGACATGACAAAAATATCTCTTTGCCATTTAAAAAATACAAATGCGTGGGCTGGCTCGGTGGCATAGTGGTTGGGTTCGCACACTCCGCTTCAACAACCCAGGCTCACAGGTTCGGATCCCAGGCACAGACCTACACACCACTCATCAAGCCGTGCTGTGGCAGCGCCCCACATACAAAACAGAGGAAGATGGGCATAGATGTTAGCTCTTGTGAGGGACAATCTTCCTCACATACACACACACAAAATGCAGCTGCACTGGTTAACAATTGAAATTTCTCCCTCAACACATGTCAGACATTCGATAAATATTATCTGAATTAGATGTGCTACCCAGGGAGATCTCCAGGATATGTTGCTTTAGAGTAGAGAAGGATGTGATTATTCTCAGCATCTCACGTAATAATGGATTAATAATACGCGGTGACCCCAGAGAGATTTTGATGCAGCCTCCACGGTGCCGGAATCCCCCACACAGCTTCTCTGCTGGATGAGCCCCGGAATAAGTTCCATGAGTCTGGAGCCTGGGAGCTGGCCAACTGTATGCATGGCAGCAATCTTCTCATTGCTGTTGTAAAAATATGCTTTCCCCAGTGATGCTGTTTGCACCAAGACTTAGCTCCGATAACCTTTTTGGATTTCCTGAGCGACCTTGAACTCATTCTTTGCCCAGAGCACCATCATTGTCAAATTCTTGGAGTCTGGGTCACTGAGTTTGTGCTGTAATCTGTCACCAGAGCTTGGATCGAACAAAGATCCACATTGGCATTTCCCTCTGGCTAAGCAGTGGCTTCACGTTGAGTTGTCTTGTACATTATCACTAGGAAATACATAATAGACTTGGAATGAAGAGGATATTTTAAGCCTTAAGGAGATTAGGCAGTGGTTGTCCTTCAGCTCCTGTTTACCTGGCCACTGGTGCCCCCGTGAAGATGAACACTGATGAGTCTGGCTGTTCAGTCCCAAGTGGGTGAAATCTGAAGTCACTGCCCTGCACCAAGGGCTGGCTGACCAGAGGCTCCTGGCTATCTTCTCTGCTACCAACATGCAAGGAGTCAAAAGCCATCGTGAGAAAACCAGCAACAGCTATTCCTTGGCTATTGGATAACAGATTATCCTTAACTAACCAGACTGAAGTCCTAGGAACTCACCGCAGGTTAATACCCCCAAATTGAAGAGCAACCGTCCACACTCCATTAGATGGGGTATTTTCCAGCAAATTTTGGTGCTCAGAAGACTGTGTGTAGTGGCTGTTAGTTTGTCCCATGAGATGGGACTCTCTATCTTGGAATTTATCATTTAGGCATGCAGTGATATTCTAGCAACTACCACTGTGTAACAAACCACCCCCAATCCTAGTGGCTCAAAATAACCCTTTCATTTTGCACACAACTGGGGGCGCAGGAATTTGGACAGTTCCAGCTCTGGGTCTCTCATGCTGTATTCCAGCTGGGACCACCGTTATCCAGCGGCTCAACTAGGGCCAGACATCCAGGATGGCTCCGTCTTGTGGTGGGAAGTTGATGCTGGGCTCAGCTAGGATGGTCGACCAGAGGACCTACACGTGGTCTCTCCAAAATGGCGGTCTCAGGGGCGCCAGCCTTCTTAAAGGAAGCTGGCTCTTCCCATAGACAGCATTTTGAAGAACCAGGCGGAAGCTCTATGGTTTTTTTCTGACCAAGCCTTGGAAGTTGTACGATATTGTCACTGCTGCTGCCAAGATTCAAGGCAGCCAGATTCGAGGGATGGAACACAGGCTTCATCTCCCGAGGAAACTAGCGTCAAAAGAATGTGCAGGCGTGTTTTGCCGCTGCCTTGAGCTCCAGTTCCTGCTCAGCCAGCCTCGCATAAGCTGAGTGTTCATGATGAACTGGTCTCTCTCCTAAGCTGAGGGCTCCCCAACTAGGAATTTACAATACATGAGGCGTGAACTGAGCTCTGTTTAACTTCTTTGCACTAAATAAGATAGTCGATATAATGACATCACCCCAGAGATATTTACATTTTCTCAAAATGCCAAACTTCACGTCCATTTGAAGCAGCCAATTCCCGTGTTTCTTCCAGATGACTCCTAAAGTGGACCCTGGCGTGCCCTGTGGAAAGGTTTTGTTAGCCGACTTTTGGTGACTGTAGGTGTATCTGAATACACATTTCGTTGGCTGTACAAGACTCGTGTAGCTTATTTTCCTCACTCATATTGACCCTCTCCCTGTTGGTCCACACTGGTGATGTTTTACAGTAATGAGCTCAGAGGATGCATTTTCAATATCCTGGAAGTTTGTTGAGAGAGCTGGGTATTAAGGGAGGAGGTTGGAAGCACTGAGTGTGGCCAGAAAGTGTGTGTGGGTTAGAAGCTGTGGACTTGGGCTTTCCCTCTTCTCCACGTCACTGTTCCTCTTGCGTCATTCTCTGTGAAAACAGCAGTAAGCCTTCATCCACATTTATTTTTTAGATGTTATGTGCCACTTGGTATGCCAAAGCACTACACCTGTGCTGTGAAAGCCACAGTCTGGATCAGACATTTCCTTTGTCTCAAGAACCTCACAAGGAATAAACCTGCATTGGGGCCAGGGATGTGTGGGGTGTTGTAACCACAGGTGCATCCTGCATGGGCCCTGGCTGTGATGGGGGAGGCAGTGTGGCCTGTGTGTCCAGGGAGGGACCTCGCGATCCAGCTGGAAAAACTGTCTACACATACACAAATGCATATACATAGGATATTGTATACAGAAATGCATACACATGCACATACAAATACAAACACATAGACCTATACAAATACATAGAAAATACAAACATATGCGGTCATGCTTGGCTTAACAATGGGGACACATTCTGAGAAAAGCATCGTTAGGCAATTTTGTCATTGTGTGAATATCGTTGAGTATACTTACACAAACCTAGGTGGTATAGCTTGCTACACACCTAGGCTCTATGGTGCTAATCTATGGGACCCCTGTTGTATATGCAGTCTGTCATGAGCTGAAATGTCATTATGCAGCATGTGACTGTATATACACACATATATATAAAATACACTCACATAAGCACAAACACATGTACATATACAGATGCATATACATAGAGAAATGTATACACATTCAGATACAAACACATGTACGTTTCCAAATGCATACACAAATAAATGTGCATATGTGCATGCAAATCATAAACATATCCAAATGCATTTCCAAATGTAAATATATACACTGCCACAAAAACGTGTGTAATGCATATGCAAATAGAAATACATATATGCATGTATTATGTATAAATACATATGAAAAACAATAAGCTATGAATATTTATGTATATGCAAATATGCCTGCTTTTATACTTACAAACACAGGCATAGTTATATATACGAATACATATATAAATACATATACATATGCATGTGTTATATGCAAATACAACCATGTGTGCAAATGCATATGCAAATTTATCTACACATGGGAATTCATAGACATGCCTATAGTGTATATGCCAAAAGAAATACACATATAAATTCATCAGGCATTTACAAATACATGTGTGCATGCAAATACACATGGAAATACAAATGCCAACACAAAAACGTATATATGTATAAATGTGTATTGTGATTGTATGTGCATATATATGCAAATACATACAGATAAATGCATACAAAAATACATATGCATGCCTCATACATCTGCATGCATACATACAAATGTATCTATAATTAATGTATGAATACACACAGTATTACATACATGTATAAAATACACATGCACGTATACACGTTCGAGTACATATGCATACAAGTACATATTACACACACGTAGACACATACACATCCAAGCATGCTGGCCTGCTTGAGATGATGGAACAATATGGCCAGTCACATGTCTTGCACAAGTCGTCGGGTCTCCCGCCTCCGAGGAAAGGACTCCGGGACGAGGATTTATCTGAGCTTTGCCCCTGCAGGGAGGGGGACATTCTGAGCCCGGGAGGCAGAACTCACGAGCACGGACCATGCTTTTACGATTGTGTTTATGGAATAAGCTACCAGTGGGGCTGGAGTGGGGTCTGCGGTGCGGACGGCAAATGTGAATACTTGGGTCACCATTTCCCACAGGGTGCCCTGAGGAATGAATTCATTTCTGGGGTTCCCTGTGAATGAGGCGGTGCCATGGCAATATGAATTTGGGGGACACGGCTCTCTCTGCCCCACCCTGTGGGCTGCAGAACGTCGGCCTCCCCACGTGGCTGAGCCGTGCTTCCCGAGCTCATGAGACAAGGGGATCTCGATATCTGCAGACAGCTGTCCCATCCACAAGAATTAACTTCCCAGGGGACACCTTTGGGTGACACTGGGTGACCTCACTTTAGAGTGAGTGCTGCTATTTTGTCATTGCTGCTGTCAGTTTACAAGATCCAGGCGTGAAAGGATAGACTTTGAGGAAAGGAAGGATCTTGTTGGTCTCCTGGCACATCCCCATCACATACAGAGTGGGAAACTGAGGCCCAGGGAGGTGAGAAGGCAGCCAGCTCCTGATCCCGCCCCTGTGGTGCCCAGGACTGTTTCCATGACCCCCTGTGGCGACACCTGTGCCATCTCATCTCATCTAACCCTCCCTGAAATTCCCTTTGTCCCCAGCCGGGGTCATGATGGTCCCTCAGAGGAAAACCGTGGACGGGTTTGAGGAACACTTCGGCCTGAACTTCCTGGGCCACTTCCTGCTCACCAACCTCCTCCTGGACACCCTGAGAGAGTCGGGGTCTCCCGGCCGCAGCGCGAGGGTGGTGACCGTCTCGTCGGCCACGCACTACGTCGGCGAGCTGAACATGGACGACCTTCAGAGCAGGTGAGTGGGCGCTACCAACGGTCCGAGGGGCATCCTGGGAAGATCAAGGCTGCTCATCAAGTGTCCACAATGCACTGGACACGATGCTCTGGACCACTGACCATTTGTTTTTTATAAACCTGTCTCATAGCAATAATTATCCTGACTAATATCTACTTATTGTTTACTATTCTGCTTTGACACATTTGAACACTTTCTCTGTATCCGTCCATTTATGCATCATAAGAATGCTTTTAGGTAAATATAATTATCATCCTCGTTTTACATGTAGAAAAAGTGAAGCATATGTTATTTTTTAAAAAATATCTTCCTAATATCACTAGGCAATAAAGATAGAGCCAAAATTCCAGCCCAGGAAACATGACTATGGGACAGAAAAAAACCACCAAGTGAGAGTTAGCTGTGTTGTCAGCATCGCTGAATAACTCTATGCAAAATTTTGTAGTGTTCTGTTTTAATGCATCCTGAAGTGCATGCTGTTTTTTTGTTTTTTAGCATTTTTTTTATTGAGGTATCATTGACATATAACATTCTATTAGTCTCAGGTGGACAACGTCATGATTCGGTACTTGTACATATGGTGAAATGCCCACCATCATAAGTCTGCTTAACGCCCATCATCATCAACCATTTCCATCTTATCCTCGGGCAGCTTGGCTGTGTGATATTATTATTATTATTTTTGTTTCTGAGCAAGAGACAAGAAAGACAGAAGTCAGACGTAGAGAGGGATAGCAGAAATATTTAAGTGTTTTCTTTTGGACCCAGTTTCGAAGGCACTGAACTAGCTCCTGTGGCCCGTTCAGCTTGACTCTTGGCAATGCACAATGCAAATATTCTCAGCTTCCCTCTGTCCCCTCGTTGAGGACAAAAGACTCAGTGTGTGTGAATAGGATGTGTGTTTATTTCTCTGTACGTGTGTAACAACTGTGCACGACGTTAACGCGATGCTTGGAACGACCTGGATGCCTGGTTGACCTCGGCTTTGATGCCAGGACCAGGCTCTGGGATTAGCAGCTCTGGGTGGGAATCCTCAGGCTGAGAGGAGGGCAGCCCAGCTGTGCAGACCTCGGGGGCCCTTTACAGTGTTGATGTCCCTGCACAGTGAGAGGCGGCTGGGAGGAAGAAGGGCTGGGGTCCTCCCAGGATGCTGTTGTTGATCTGGTTACCCAGAGCTGGCTCCTGGGTGGGGGACCAGGAAGACCCCATCACTGGGATTTGCCACTAGGGGCAAATTCTGCGGAAGGGTGGGAGAGAGGGTACATGTCTGTGACCTCTGGGAGCTTGGGAGAGGGCTGTCAGGCCCTCGTCTTCCCGAGGTGGCTGCAGCTGGCCTGGCCCGTGCACAGAGGAAGTGATGAAGCAAAGGCCCGGGGATGGGTGGTGTGCTGCTGAGGGGCTGCGAATGGGATCTTATTAGGAAATCCAGTCTTTGCAGATGTAATTAGTTAAGAATCTCAAGATGAGGTCGTCCTGGAGGAGGGTGGCCCTAAATCCAATGACAGTGTCCTCATCAGAGACAGAAGAGGAGACACAGACACAGAGGAGAAGCCACGTGGAGACGGAGGCAGAGATGGGAGGGAGGCGGCCACCAGCCCAGGGACGCCTGGAGCCCCAGAAGCTGGAAGAGGCAGGAAGGACCCTCCCCTGGAGCCTGTGGAGGGAGTGCGGCCCTGCGACCCCTTCATCTCAGACGTCTGGTCTCCAGGACTGGGGGAGGGTGAATGTCTGTTGTTTTAAGGCCCTAGCCTTGTGGGTCCCATATTGCAAGGCGGGACTGTGTGCTTTACAGAGTACCTCGTCGTTGCACGGACATTTTCTTGCAGTTGGCGGGGGACCTGTGTCATCTACCCCGTTCCGTGACCCAACTTATCCTGACACGGGAGTCTTCTGAAAGTGGCGAGCGCCCTAATGGCTCTTAACTGCTCGACCCGCGCCCACCAAATTTGCGGCCTTTTTGGCTTCCAAGATGCCCTCGGCAATGGCCTTCACTTCATGTGCATAATAACCCACAGCAAAGTTTGTAGACGCCGGTCTGGTGAGACCCGCAAACTCACCAGTCTGTGGGGCCGGCCCGGACAGCAGGCTTGTAGGGCCTATGCCTGCGTCCTACCCTATGGTATTTCCTTCTTATGACAAAGGACACAGACAAAAGAGAAAAACAGAGACTACCTCTGGGAGGAAAAGGGATCAAGATCATAACCAAGAGTACTCTACCAAATATAAACCAAGAGTCACTAAAAGCACAAGAAACTAGTTTCCCAAATATTTTCTCCTGCCAATCTAAATTTAGAAAGAGAAAAAATTCTCACCACTTCCTTCCGCCGGACCCCGCAGATAGAGATTCCGGGAGGCTGATGTGGTAAGAAGTCTTACCTTTTGCCGGCTTTTGTCAGGCGTTCCCGTATCTCACCATCTGCAGTAGTCCAGGGAGAAGGCAGGTCTTCCAGCCAGAGAAGGCAACTTGCCAGCCAGTGTGGCTCCTGGCGACTACGCCAAAACTGCGGGGGAAGAGGGAGACTGTCCCTCTGCCCTTTCCCTTAAGGTTCTTCTGGCTGGCCAAATAATCAACAAGACAGGTTAGCAGGAGAAAATAATACCAAGTTTAATAACATGTATACATGGGAGAAAGCAGGGACACTGCGTTTCTCAACACAATAGCAGAAATTCTCGTCTTAAATACCATGTTCAGCCAGTGACAAAGGAAGATGTTGGGGGTGGGGGGAGTCAGTTACAGGAGATTACCACTGAAGCACAGTAAACAAGAGTAAGGTTATTATGCAGCCCCAAGGCCTCACCTTCCACATTGATAAGTCTCTAGAAATGAGCTCATCCCCCCTCTCTTCTCCAAACAGAGAGGGACATCCCTTTACAAATGGAGATTTCCCTTATAAATGTAAATGATTGTCTGGCAACTCCTCGCAGGGTCATCCAGAGAATGTGGCCAGAGAGACAGAGCTTCTGATAAGAGGGGCTTGTTGGTGCCTTTCCTATTGTAACATTTACCCTACGTTATCTTTATAGCAGTCATGATAAATCTGTTCTAGGAAGGAGCCACCATGTCAAATTCTTTAGGCAGTTAGTGGGGGAGGTCAAATGTCCCTAGAGAAAACAACCAAGGTAAAGAGATAGATTTCAGGGTGGCCAAATCTTGATCTCCCACCTGTGCCGGGGCTGTACGAGCCCTTCAAGGTCTGTGGGGCTCATGGAGGACCAACCCTGTGGTCACTGAGCTGGGAGGTCCAGCCCCGTGAATTCTCTGAGCTGTGCCAGGACCCACCCCACGGATGCTGTTGATGCCTGAGCCGTGCTAGGGGTCGTGTAGGACCCCGAGGGATGAGCCGGCTTCCTTCCCTTGCTGACATTTCTGAGTTTTCTCCCTTTACTTCTCAGCACGCAAAACGCACACAGCCCTTTGGCAAATGCCAGTGGTTTCCACAAGAGACACGAATGCCAAGGAGGAGAAAGAAAATGACATTTACTCTTGAGAGCGTCTCATTTTGCCTGGAGTACTCGCATGGAAGAGCGAGCCTGTTTCTCTCCCTGGACTCTTTGCCCTGCATTTTAACCCCCAGAGTCGAATTATCCTGCCGAGACGCCTCTCGGAGGCAAGAATTGTTCTCTCATCCGCATGGGTGCAGGCTCAGAGCCCGCAGAGCATATCTGATCCACAAATCTTTGCTGAATCCAATACAGGCATGAATTTACGTGGCATACACACAAGAACACGTGAAGAATCATGTCATGCCAAGTGAACATGTGTGTGGGGTGGGGAGTGTTTCATTAAAACTTCGATCTTTTCTCCTTTAAATAGGAATGTTTTTAAAGACAAATAATACAACTATAGAAATATATATATGCAGGAGAGCATGCATACGTGTGTGCACCCATAACTTGCTTTTTCTCAAGTGATACTCTTTACATTATGACACAAAATCCCGACCTTTGTAGAGAAGGGATTCTTGTGGACGGCCGTAGCAGGTGCCTCAACATTCTCGTGTTGACTGCCCTGCTATATTTGTTTAAATTTTCCTATATAAAACCGAATAACAGACGTGTAGTTCTGTCACTTTCTGTTCTTAATGTTTATTAAAAGGAGTTGAAGCGGTTTAGAGTGGAGGTTTTCCAACTGCGGTCCCCAGGCCCATAGCATCAGGACCACCTGGGACATCGTTAGGGATGCAGACCCTCAGGTCCCACCCCAGACCTGCTGAACCCAAACTCTGGGGCGCGGCCAGGCGGTGGGAGCCTACTAAACCCTCCGGGAGATTCTGATGCAGGCTAAAATTTGAGAACCACTTGGCTTTCCACCATACTGCTTTTCTGTGTAAAAAGAGTTGGTTCCCGGCTTCCCCTGATATAAACACCGCTGGTCATTACCGTTAATTGCCAAGAGTGATGCGCTGGCTTGGAAAATGAGCGCTCTTCTCAAGACATAAATCCCCACATCGTAAAGTGTTCTGAAAGCCGAGTGGGTCGTGACACATGAGGGGGCTCGTCTGCTCTGCAAGACAGCACCGGAACATTCCACCAGAGGAGAAAGTGGGAAGAATCTGTTGAAAATTGTTTGTAATCAATGGCGTTGACTCATGAAGAAATGGATAGCTTGGTTAAAAAACAAGTTTTATTTTGGGGGAAGGGGGTTAAAAAAGCTATAGGTTATTTAATTTAAAAAATTATATATATTATATTTATATTATATATAAATACTATATTTTTATAATTATAAACATTTTAAAATTATAAATGTAAATATACATACTATTTTTTATAGTGTAATAAATATGATGTATATGAATATATATAATATATATAAACAAATCAATCAATGTATCTATATATACATGAGAGAGAGAGATTGATTTATTTTAAGGAATTGACCCACATTGGAGGGTCTGGCCAGTCTGAAATCTGCAGGTCAGACTAGCAGGCTGGAGATCCGGGTAAGAGTCGATATTGCAGTCTTGAGCCTGAAGGCTGGTAACTGAGGCAGAATTTCT